TCGTTTGCCTTTTACCACCTGTTTCCCTGATAAGCCTGAATAGTTGTCTGGTGTTACCAATCGCCGATGCCTTTTCCATCTCTTTCGCTTTTGTCGCCAACCAATGTTCACAGTCCTTAAGAAGACTTCTTGTTAGTTTGCGAGCTTTCGCTCCACATCATATTCGGAGCTCGCCGGAGTCAGTCTTCTTGCGTTAATCAGTTTGGATGAAGTGGTAGAGATCCACTGACTTTTACTACCTTTTGGTTTTAGGTTATTAACAGCCCTTACAGCTAACTGTATATTGTGCCAGGCTTCCTCAGGAGAAGTTTTGCTGTCCACTTCAGATACTCGTTTCGCTATTTCTTCCTTAAGTACCTTGTTCTAGTTGGGGAATTAACTGCTTCGCCACCAAGTTTTTTATGTCCATCTAATAGTAAACACAAACGTGAGCGAACCAGGGCGTGATCAGAGTCTACGCATGTGTTCCAGAAGGAGCGGCAGTCTTCTACTGACCCTCGCCAACGATACCCTATGGCTATGTGGTCTATCTGAGTCCAAAGTTGATTTGGTGATAGGGGTCACCAGGTTACGCAGTGTCTCTCTTTGTGCCTAAAGTTAGTGCTGACTAAGAACAGATGATTACCTGAACATAACTGTATAAGATGATCACCATTGTCGGTTCGTTGACAGGGAACTCCATACGTACCAACGAAATACTTCTCAGTCTGGCATAACTTCCCTACGTGGACATTGAAGTCGCCTGCTAAAACAGCTGTAACTGAGCGTTTTGCTTTTTGCAGTAAATTAGACAGTTTCAGGTAGAAATCATCCTTTAGTTCATCCGAACTGCAGTCTGTTGGGGCGTTATCGGAGACTATGGAAAGACAACGATGGGTAGTACGGTCCTTCCTTCTTCTAATGGACCGTACACATGCAACTATCTACTGGGATCCAGTCAAGAAGTGATTTTTCCTGACACTTGTAGGGTGAATTTCGTAGATTCACTTTGTTGGCCGAATGTGCTTAAGTGAATAATCACACTCAGGTCTTGTATGCATGTCTCCGAAACATAACATACATCCATGGCTCGAAATGCTAGAGTTCTCACTAGTGATGTCTGTTGTCCGATTTGGCAGAGAGTCTTGACGTTAAATTTTTTACATGAAGTTGCCAGTGTAGCCTTAAGAAGCTATCGGGGGTCTTTTTCTGGCTCTCATCGTTATTTGTGGTCACAGAATGAAACGAAGATGACTCACTAGCCTGCAGAATAGTACTGACAGAAGGTGGAAAACAAGATGATGAGGATGACAGTGATAAAGGGGGATGGTGGTCAGGAGGAATTCGTGTGCTTTGGGAGTTGTGTGAGCGGTTGTTACTTCCCGGCTGCGCACACCGTGAAAGTTGATTGATTCTTCGAGTACCTGAAACAGAAAGAGGGTCAGTGTTGCGTGACTACAGAGCTCAGGGGACAACTGCTTGAGGCTGGTCACACACGGCCTGTATGAACTGGCTTTTTGGATTGGTTTCGTATTAGTAACTTACCTCCGGTTACGGACCACCGTAAGGTAAGTTTGGATGTACAGTTTTTGGAGTTGACTTTTCTAACCCCATCTCTCCAGATTGGAGAGACACCACTGCTGGCACGCTGGTCGTCTGAGGGAGACATCTTACTGCTCTTACATCCCTATTCTCCAGCAGTAAGAATTCGCCCACAGACCCCTAGCATAGTATAAAAATTCTACATCATGCCAGCAACTGCTTTTAGTCTAATCGCTATTCTAACAATGGTAGGAACAATAGTTCCAGCCAGTGCAGCTTGTTGGATCATTGCGATATACAAGCGCGACCACCACGTCAAGGTAGCAGCTACCGGTCGGGCTTCTACATGGTTCAAACGCTTGGCGCATCGCGAAAAGTATTTCAAACAGGCTTCAGACTTTCATCAGCAGGTGTTTTTGCTGGGTCAATACTGAAAATCACATAGCTGGTCGGAAAAGATAAGCGACGAGGAACTCTGACAATGAACAAAAAGAGAGCCTATCACCCAACAAATATGTCGAAGAAAATGGAGATGTATGGGATACATGCTAGGGAGACCATTGGGTGACATCGGGCGCCAGGCCCTTGGGTGGAACCCGAATGGAAGACGACGACTTGGGCGTCCGAGGGGAATATGAGAACCTATGGGCAATCGTGGAACCCTCTAAAGAGGATGACAGAGAATAGAACAAAGTGGAGATGTGCTGTTCCACTTGGAACCCAAAAGAAATAATAATAACGATACTAAATCGAAATTGGTAGGGAAGATTTTCTGATTAGAATGACATTCTTCTCTTCTCTTCATTAACACTTCACCATTAAAACTCGAAGAGTACAAAACATAGTAATTGTAGAATTTGAAGTGCCTATCAATTTTCTAACCAAATCAAGTTGCAGTGCATTAAGTGCATAGTCCAAATCTATTCACTGCTGATATACTGTCTAGGAAAAGTTTACTGACCTCTAACAGATTGATGAGTTTGGATTTTTGCTCATGAACCGAGTTTTCCTGCAGTCACTGAATTCCACCTTTGAATGCACTCATATAATTATTAGAATTGCAGATAGTTTTCTTGTTATTTCAATTACAATTTTAGATTTCTGAGGCCCTCATGTGTCACTCCATGTAGTACAATCATCACTGTTAGTCATTTAAAAAGCATAAAAATTTATGTTAAGCTGAGAATTAGCTAAAGAAATTATCCATATTCTTTAAAGACAGTATGATGAGCATGGAACTTAAGAAGATACAATCTGTTACTCAGTATTTATTAGGAAGACTGCGTGTCAACTTGAAGTGCGAGGATATACACAGGGAGTGTTATACACTTATTTCATGATTGTTCCTTTGTTATTTCCAGCTGCATTACATAATCTGCACACGAAATAGTATCGAGTACACATGATGTGCAATACGGATCATCCAAGACTTCATGGAAATGTCCTCATAAAATTAAGTTTGACAATGGATCTTATACGATACTCGAAATGATAATGGTTCACTCAAGTTTCATGTAATCCTACGCCTATCTATTCCACTCGGATATTCTACCATGATTAAATGAAGATAAGTTTTATTGCTGTTAAACTGATGCGTTTCAAATACACAGGTTACATCCATACACCATTCATTGTAATAAAATTGTATTCACAGTGGTTTATACAACTAACTTTCAACCAATTTGTTTACAGATTCAAAATCTGCCCTACCTGCCGATTTCGAACCAACCAGTTAAAATATCATTAGCATTCAAACAAGAGCACACAAATCAGGAAGCGTTTGACAAAGTGCATTTAAAATATATTTTATGTCATATATGTATAAGTCATTTGTGATTCGGTTGCTAAAACACAAATAAGTCTTGATTGTTTCTGTTGCAAGAAAGTGAATATGAATATAATTTGCAGCATATTATTTAAGAAAAACAAATGCACTTAAGAATTGCCTAAAAAATAGTTGAGTACTTAAATTGCTAGCTAAAATTCATGATAAACTCTAACGATGTTCATTGTCCGCTCAGACTGAATTAAATATACATATATGCATAGGTAGGTAGTAAAGTGTATTCATACATCAAAGTCTTAATTTAGACCAACCTGTTAAGTACACATGTAAGTTACTTTTCACAGTCAACATTGGAAACTTTTATAAACAAGGAGTTTAAAAATACTTTCTGCACGGTCACGCTCATTTTCTTCAACAACCAGTGTTTGTCTGCTAATATCCACAAAATTCAAGTTTATATGAAGCTATAACTCGTGTGTCTAAAGCATTAAAGTGAGTGTAAAAAAATATGATGATGATTGAAGGGAATTTCAGTAGACATGTGAAGTAATGTTTTAGGCTTATTGAAAGCCATTTGTAAGAGTTAGTTTCTACATTGAACCTATATACGCCTAGAAGTAAAATTAGGTACTAAGTGACAAGTAATAGATAAAAACAACTATTTATTTTATTTATTTATTTTTTGGTTACAGCTTGATGCCACACCGTATTTTCAGTACAAGTATGGAATTTTCAGCATGGATATCGGTAGCCCATATTTTGCAGGCCAACCATAGATATCGGGTGTGCGTCGGCAGCGTATCGAACCTCGGACCATGTGTATGGTCGGCGAGAGTCCTAACCACTGTGCCACCGACACACTATGTAAATCATTGATCCAATGAAGCTTCATGTACTAGGTAACGATGTTCGCTCTCTGTCCATTTGTAGTGAAACAGGTTATAAACCATGAGCATATTGTTTGAGAGTCTCTAGCACTAATTAGCTAGACAGCAAAACACTTTTTTTCTATTCCTTTACGTTCCTTGTGAAATATAAGGTGTCAAGCTGGAGCTTTGAAGTTTCGGTAGCATTGGTTTCATTTTTACAGGGTGGAGTTGCTGGCCTCACAACCAACCTTCCCTCTTTACCAGGCCTTTCTACAGGCTTTGCGAGGTCTAGGAGTGCGTCGAACGGGGATTGAACCAAACGCGTAGTTAAAGAGCAATCTAGCGCCGAAACACCGACGCCAAAATCAGCAACACTGATCATTTGATATTATAACACAATAAGAAAATATCCGTAATTATTCATGTATTTTTATTAGAGTAAAGACCAGGGTCATCAATTTTTTCAACCATATATATATCGAAGCGAAATAATAACAGAATCAATAAATATTACTCTAGAATAAGCATATACAAGAATGCATTTTACCAAAATAGGAAAACTCAAGAATTCCAACCAATTATCCGACTAATCTAAATTAAAATATTTACAAAATATATAAATATTAGAAAAATAAAAGTTGTAAAACACTTTTTTTTCCTTATACAACAGAAACTTTTTAACAATGAAGATTTAAACGAATTAAGGAATAACAGTAGATAATAATAGTAAGTCAACAAATCAACACTGATATCAATCAACTGAACAATGGAACTTGAAACCATCATCACTTCGAATTCAATCAATTGAACGAGAAAAAACTCACACTGTCCACAGATTCAGGTCTAATTCGATGATGCATGTATTTTTGTAGAGCTTGTATAAAGTGATCTACTTTCAGCATTAAATCTGTTTGCCTGGATAAAAGAAAAAGAAAATTGCATATATATAGAGATATACGTATATGTAAATCAAACAGAATGCAAATAAAACTATGTTAATGCATAATTTGCATATTGACAGAGAAAGTTTAAGTCTGTTTGTAGATGATATAGCTACCGACAATTCTTCTATATATATTGTTTCAGTTTTAAGATATTTATGTGTAATTTTTACCTATGACCTAATAAATTGTAGTAACGAATTCATCTATTTAACTTGCTCTACATACAACACATATTACTGCTTACTCATCACTACTTTTCCTTCATGCGATAGGACGTGCTAGTGCATAGCACTGCTTATTCTTCTTTCAACAGACTAGTAAATACAGTTCAGTTACAGGATTTTCATCATGAGCTGACATTAGTTAGAGAACCATTGGAAAACCTGGGAGTACTGGACAGCTGTTTCGTCCTAGTTTGGGACTCTTCATCAGTACGCACAGTTCAGTTATTTTGGCTAAGCGATAACAGGCCAGGTTTAGGCCCTTTTTTATAACTTTAATATTCAAAAAGGAGCGTTCAAAAATAAACACTCAGCAGATATTTCATATTCACTGAAGTAAACTCAGCAGTTCATTGACATATCCCTTGTTTATTGATCAAGTGTTAATTTTATACTTAGAAGCTATATATGCACCAATTATTATTATTATCCCCTTGCGTCCCCGAGTGGAACATAGGGCTTCAACAACATATCTCCACTTTGTTCTGTTTTCTGCCGTCCTCATATGCACCAATTACCTCGGTTTATTATAATAAAATTCAAACGGTTGGATAGTCAATTTAAAATTAACACTTGTGGTAAAGAGTATTGGTATGCATATTTCAAAGGTTGCAGAAGACTCAGATTCACCTGTATCTTGAGTTGTGAATCAAGTTCATTGATATTCATAGAGAATCAGTGTTGATAAAGCTAAACTTTTGATTAATAGGAAAATTTTAATCGTTTAGAAAATACACCACTCAGTTATCCGACTCAGTGATATCCGACCCTACATCAAAAGACGTTTGTAGTCCTTCTTTATCACTGTGAAACGTGACCCTTGAAAGCCGAAGACTTGATGAGGCTCACTGTCTTTTACCACAGATGTCTGCGTTCTATCTCTCGCTTCACGTAACATAATATGGTGAGCAATATTAAGACTAGGCGTAGAGTATTAGGCAAGGAGGGCAAAACAGTGGATGAAGTCGTGAAGCTTTATTGATTAAGATGGTTAAGGCAGGTGTTAGGCATGTAAAGCTACCCACCTTCTTTATTGAGCAATGTTAGCTGACATAGGATTAGGTTAAAGAATAGTTAGGTTCGGTCAAATTAAAACCTGGTCTAAATCCAGGAAGGCTTTGACTGTTGGTTTGGAGCCACATAATGAGGTTGGCTGATATGAATAAAAATTAATGGTTGTCTGTAGAAAAATTTGTGTGAGAGTTGATTCGTCTTTTGACCAAATTTAATTTACTTTCAGAAACAGTACTTGTGAGGATTAGGATTTGTGAGACCACAAAACAAGCTACATAACATTCCTTATGATAAAACTATAAATATTTTGAATTCTGTAGAAATTTTCACATCCCTGTGATAATATCTTTGAGGTTCTATTAGAAGTGAGGAACAGTCATAAACGATGATGACAACTGGTTGTGATTACGCTTTAAAAATAAGTCATATATATATGTGTGAAAAAATCTAAGCGTAAAAAAGGGTCAAATAGGATTATCTCAGGAAAACAGAGGGTATTATAAAGTGGATGAATAGCTGACAATAGGTTTGACGGTAAAATTGGATAAATAAAAATAAGGATAATAGATTCATGTAGATTACATGTATGCATGGGCATGAAATTAAATGAACTGAACGGATTTATCAACGAAGAACTGTATTCAAAAGTACATCACAGGGTTCTTGAGGTTCTACCTGAAAAAAGTGCATCATTTCAAGATGTCGCACTTCATAAAAACACACACTCAAAGGTAGAAAAGGAGAGAGAGAGAAAGAAGAAGCACAAAGAAACTACAACACGTAAAAATAAGCTAATTTAAGATGATCTGAGGTAGGATGGTGTGTACAGAGATTAGTCCAGTGGCTGAATAGTCAATAAGCTCATTTTGTAATCTAAAGATCTTGGGTTTGATCCTTGATGGGTTCACAGACAGGCAGGCATTAAATGAACTACTTTAAGATTATATTGGATACAAAGGTATATTGTGAAACTTCACAATTAAAGCGTTTTATGTATATAGTGCATGAGAATTTTTTGGTTCCAAAGCAGGTCAAGGGATAATAGATATTCCTTTTATATTATCCAAATAGCCATTACATCTAACGTTAGAGCGACACAAATTCTAGTTGCTTTTGAAGTTGTTTTCAACACGATTTAAGGAATAAGTTAGAACAGAACTATTTAGTGTTTGTAAAACTTTTGTGCGAACACACTGGAAGGTATTCGACAACATAGAGGACTAAATTTCTACAAAAGTGACCAATGTATCCGGTTCTACAAAAGGAGTTATCACATGTATAGAAAACATCATTTTTAAGCGTTCTTTGACTGGATTTTTATGGCTTTTGAACTGATGTCTCATCAGATACATAGCCTTTAAACTGCATGTGGACTTGAAATTGCTTGTCGGGAGTAGTTGGAATACATCCCCTTACTGTTTTTGTAATGAAGCATTTTCTTAAGAAAAATAAACTGAATCCTTAATAATATAATAAGCACTTCAAGGTATAAATATCTTGTAGAGTAGGTAGCTTTAAAAAGAGTGACCAATTATGTTATGGGCAAAATTTACAGTCTGCATTTAAGAAAAAAACTGTCAATTACGAAATTCACAAGGATGGAAATTGGGAATAAAAAATGCATTTCTGAGATTAGCCTTTCAAACACACGTTTAAACAATAAACATTCCAAAATTAATTATAAGTATGTGAATGAAGTGAACCTACACATTATCACCTTCACGAAGGGATCGTAAGCAAATAAAAGCTGCTTCACGACATAATTCAGATAAATCGTTTCCGGAAAGCCCTTCAGTTTTGGCAGCAATTTGATTGTAATCATCTTCAGACAGTTGTCGAGCAACTTGATCCCCTCTAAGAAGTACTTTGAGAATATGATTTCTTTGCATTGTATTAGGAAGTGGGACCTTTATCTGTATAAATAAAAACATCAATATTAAAGCTTGAAAAGAAAACAGGTATTTTTACGATTCAATCTCAAAGTCAGACGAAGTAGTTACAAGGTTTGAACCATTACAGACACAATGTTGACAAACTTAGTTCTAACTGACTACTCAATGTTTTAGCTATCTCGATATTGATAACGACTTTTTTTTGTCTACAAAACTATTGGTGACATAAGTTTGGGATAAATTCCATCTACCAGTATTGTACACTGTACAGTCCATTAAATTTGCCATCAACTAGTCGACTGCACTTTCTAAAGACATTTCGTATTTATGCAGTAGCCAGAATTTATCTGGATATTTGATTTCTATTTATGTAGACTAGTGGAATATTGTATTTCCGTACTGTTTTGTTTTATTGGACGGAATATATAGATATTTCCAGACAAATGAGCCTTCAATCGCATTTCAGGCATATTTTGTTGGTGATGAAACAACAGACAGTTGTTTAGAGTTCCGGTGGGAAGATAACTAGTTACTAGGATGCGTGTACATACAATCGAAACGTTTGTTCTAGATTGTATTGATAGTGAGTACTGACCTAGTGTTCATCAGAATGCCAATACATGTATTACAGGTAATATGGTGATAGCAGAGACTTTAATCCTCCATAAATTATTACACTTAAAAAAAAATAACTCACCTTATAAGGTAAACGCCGTAATATTGCTTGATCTAAGTCTCCAGGTCTATTTGTTGCGCCTACAATTATAATTTGACTGGTATCCTGTGTTAACAATCCATCCCATAAAGCCATGAACTGAGTCTTTATCATACGTGTTGCTTCATTATCGAGTTGAGAACGTGTAGTTAAAAATGAGTCTATGCAAAAAGGAAGTATTATCAAAAGAGATTATAGTGTATACACAAATATCCTGATCGGAAGAGGGAAGATTAAATAGTACTGCAATCAGTGTGCATGTTCTGCAAACATGTTAGCCATTGTAACCCCCCCCCCCCCCTCAGGAGTGATATTCTGCTAAATGGATGTATCTTATAAAAAAGAAATTAGTATGACTGCAGAAACTGAGGGTGTGTTTTTGCCAATTGCTGTTCACAATTTTACTTGATCTCAATGAAGGGAAAAAAAGAATGAACAACAATGACAGTAATTAATTCTAGATATTATAACTATCTAAATTATTGCAAAGGCGTATATAGGAAATGTATATACTCTGAATGATCAAGCGACATGAACTAGAAAGTACTAATAACTTGATCAACAATATTTTTTAGTGAGAGAGAAGTTGCGTAACAGGATTCGATTTCCATTGATTGTAGAAACAAGGGTTGTGGAACATGAACACTAATGTATACAGATAGACAACTGGAGCAAATGAGGTATGCTATTAAAAAATAGTGACAAGTCCATAGAACACTAATATGACTGCACACATAGTCAAGTCATATTCGATATAGTGGACAAAATAGGCAAAGAAAAGTGAGGTACTAAACTATAGTAACAATTGATTAAAGTAGCCTGTTTCAATGAAGTTGATATTGTTGAGACGAAGCACTTTAAGCCTTGTGTTCTGAAACCAAAAACGTTCCATAGTAACACAATAATATACTGGGAATCACCAGACAGAATTTAACTGCTTTCTGAAAACAGTACAGCCAAAGAATTAATTTAAGCATTTGGTTTACTCAATATTTAGACGGAAGGAAAGATATAAAAGCAAATGAGAACAAATTTAAAATTATTTACTATACACTATAAATAAGTCAGCTATGAGAAAAGTTGATGTTTACATCAGTTGTGCATTGAGAACAAACATTATGCAGTATACTGTTGCATATTTTATTCACTAAACTCATTGTAACAAAAACGTTCAGAGTGAGTAGTGTGAATTCTTAGGAAAAGAGAATGCAACCGTATCTTTTACTGTAACTGCACGATATCATCTAAATATATAAATGAACAAAAGGCGTCACAAATTTCACTTACCTAATTCATCAATAAATATTATAGTTGGCTGTATTTTCTCAGCTAAACTAAATGTAGCCTCCACATACTTCTGTGTCTCACCATACCACATATTAACAAGCGTAGCTATCTAAAAGTTTTTAAAAAAAGAAAAGAAAATCGTAACGGAAAAAAAAACTACGCAATCACGTAAATTGGAAATAACCACTAATATAAGGGTGTATGAGATGTGAACAACTTGACCTGCTCGAAAACTAACTAAGCATCATGGCGGAAACTACTATGATTCTTTATCAACTGACGTGCAAGACTTTACTTTTACAGGTGTTCTGCATATTGGCTATGCTAAAAACGTGAGTCCTAAACGGTGTGCTCTGAGGGTTGACATATATATATATATATATATATATATATATATGTATATATATACATGTGGATTCCAACAAGGTACAAGAGCCTTCTGTACTGACTAAGACGCAATCTGTAAAACTATACAACAAGATAAAAAGCATGTCTTAATACATTTGGCTCACAGTTATTACCTAATGTCCCAAAATAATGTCCTTGATAAAGGACAAAACAAATACACAATTTCAAACTTTAAATATACATTTTGCGTGCATCGCTGGTTCAGTAGGAGAATGCTCGGCAACGAGGTACGCAGTCTGGGGTTCGATTCTCGCCCGATGCACCACTAGATCCCGTTTAGCTAGTTGTGATGCCAGTAGAGAGGAGAGGTTAGACAGGAAGCTAGTAGCCCACACCGCAAAAACACCCACTACTTACGGAACTTTGAAGCTCAGGCTCCACTAGGAACGCAAAGGAATGAAAGAAACATTATACATCTTGAACATTCTCCATTGTAGTAAACACAATTAAAAAATTTAGCCAATTAAAGTTCATACAAATGAATATACATATAAGAAATGCACAGATACCATCAGTGCGTTTATTAATGAGTACTTTTATAAGACACTGAAATATTAGAATAGGTTAAAAAAAATCCACTAACATTATACACAATGAAGACAGAAACAATAAAATACAGTAGATAGGATAAAATGCGGTTGAATTAAAAAATAGATGGAATAGTAAACAGTTGATTTTGATAATGATTCAAATGTATGCAGATTGTACAGACAATAGAGATATGATAGAAAATGATTAACCAACGTGTTTATAAAATTTATATTTAACAAAATTGCAGGTTTCACGGGATAAATGAGTACAACAAACAAAACAGGATAAGTTTGATCTAACCTCAATTAGTGACAAACAGTAATATTGGTGAGATATAAACAAGATATTTTATGAAAGGGAGTAAGAAGGGGAGAGAAAGATGGCAGTTAAAGTGTAGACGGTTATAAAAAGACATAAGGACTTGAAATAATTAAGTTTGGGTTGACCTTGTGGCAGGTCAAGACAGATAGAGGTTGAATGTACTTTTTTGGATAATAAGTTAGGTTAATTCTTATTGATTGCTATAGATAAGGGATATAACTGCGTACATTTAGGCAAATTATTCAGCACTTAATATATGTAACCACAATCACCTCTTCTCTTTTGATGTGATGTTCACTTTCTATCAAAGGATATAGGATAGCACTGCTTATGGATCTAGTTATTCATTTTTCTAGTCAAACTGGTATACTTTTATGTGTGAGAGTCAGGATTAATACTTCTAAATATGGCCTAACTAAATCCAGCAGGACAGCTCTATTTGTATACATAAAATGATGTGTGGGCAACATTTTAATCACTCCGTGTCAGTATAGGTCTGGTTGAGAAAGTGATATGTGATTTTGCGATGGCTCATACAGAAAGCAATCATCAGATATGAGATTTTCACTTGTAGGCATATTATTGCGGTGAGAGCTGGCTGCTAGCCGAATAGGTAGACAGTAGTTTACGTAAATGTTCACGTCCTCAATATTGGTCGTGAGAATAATAAGAACAAAGACTGATTCAGCAACCAACCACAGCAGACTTTGCGTAGGCGGATACAATTGGCGTATAGATGATCTGACATTCAATAAACAGACACAAAGAGATGAAAGATTAACGTTCAACGAGAAACCACCAATCAGAAGACTTTTTCTGCTAACAATAATCTATAATAATGTACATGAAAATTTATAAATATGTGTTGATTTCCTAAATAAACGATCTGTTGCCTGGCCCTTGTCTTCCGTTGTTACCTTATCAATCAACTAAGCGTATATAGAGTTTTAAACTGTCTAAACAATGATGTTTGTTCTTCTTTACTTATCATAAAACAATTAACTTTAGAAAAAGGGACAATTGATGAAACTGTTCATCCAATACTGAGCACTAGACAAATATAATGGCTATATTGCTCAGATTAAATGATTAGTCAGTAATTGATAATATACATCTACTTTATCATCAAGTATGACATCTGGTCAGCATAATAAAGAATTCGAATATAGAATAGAAACTTTGATAACTCATAGTTTATGGTAACATATGTTAATATAATAACTGGCCAAGAAAACAACAAGAACAACAACAACAAAAAGAGCCATTATTATTAGAACAGAATTTAGTCATTATGTATGGTAGAGTAAAAGAAAGGATAACACAGTTGGTAATATCATATTTCTAATTTTGTTAATAATTTAATACGGATAGACGAAATACTTTTGCATTAAAGATTGTAACTTTACATTAGTTATTCACGCCTATCAAAATAGCTCATATGATTGCCATGAACTGTTATTATGATGGACAATGGTCAGTGAAGTTTTCTTTACATTTCAATTGAAATTAACACAGAGAGGAATCTTTATCTATATATAGAATATTATCACTATCCAAAAAGTAAAATTGGTGTTTTTCATTACAATTGTTTCGATTCGTACACACATTGACTAAGTCAACTGTTAGACTGCGAACTCAGAACTCGCCTTAGCTAATTCGGTTCAGGTAACCTAACAAGTTCAAATTAGATCTCACAGACCACATACATCTCACAAATGGCAAAAGGTTAAAGGGTTAAGAGTGGATTTAATATACTACTTTGCCTTTAATAGTAAACTAGTAGAGGAAAACAAAGAACAAACAAACAAAGTTCATATTATCAGTCATTTCACTAATCGATAAAAGAGGGTTAAAAAAAGAAACAAATAAAAAAATAGCAAAGGTATAGAGTAGTTGGATTAAAAAGAGAGAAAAATTATGCTCGGAAGCAATTAATGAATTAGATTTTGATAAATTACAGCCAAATGAAGAAGAGATACATTCGAATTATAAAGCAATAACAAGATCGGTTATCGTTATAAGGAAAAGAAAATACAAAAAGAGTAGTGGATAGATGTTTCGTCCAATTTTGCAACTTTTCAGCGATGTACACGTATGATTGAGACTGAGCCCGGAACCATAAGGCTTAATGGTGAGCGCCACAAGGTTAGAAGTTCAATATTATAGGATCGTTATTCAGTGACAATTATGACTAACTATCTACGCATCGAAAAGCTAGGTGAAAAGAAGATGCTAAATAGTAACAAAATGGGACTAAAGAGTTATTCATATCTTTTTCATTTCAGCAGTTCTTAGTGTGACATTAATCATGAGCTAAACTTCTTCGAAGTGAATCATTTGGCTAAAGGCTTCTTGACCCAATGGAAAGACTTATCATATTGTCATGTTAGACATCTTCATGAATAGTATGACACTTTTGCCTCCTGCTTCAGTCAACCATCTATTACAAAGACAGTAATGTTAAATTAGGCTAAGGCTAGGCTGGATTCTGGAAAGGCAAGTAATATCCTGATCAAACTGCAACTCTAAGCATTGTCATTACGGAACAGAGCATAGAGTGGCAGTCAAATCTCTCTCTCTACATCAACTTCATCGACTTTGAAAACGCCTTTGACAGACAGCGTTGAGCGAGAAGTAACATGGAAACTGCTTCAATACTATGGCGTGCAGTGCCCAAGTCTCTATCAACCTAATTCAACAGGTGGTCATATGATAATGCCACCCCTCAGATGATCCACAAAGGAAAACTCAGCGAGGCGTTTGAAGTGAACACATACAAACTAGAAGAATTGTAGGCGAAAACCAACAAACTGGCAGAAAAACTAGAAAGCGAAGACAGGATTCCAGGTGAACATAGAGAAGTCGAAGGAGATGAAGCTAATCAACCAACAGCCACATCAACAACACCCGGCACCAATCACTGTCAACGGGAGAGATTTGACAGAGGTTACTTCTTGCCTTCACTTATCTGGCTAGGAAGCATCGTTTCAACTACAGGCACACGACGAGGATGTAGATGTCGAAGGCAGCCAGCCAGCCAGAATCGGAACGGCAACATATGCCTTCATCAACCTGAAACCAGTTTGGAAATCTTCTGCTTCACTCAACCAGTATAATGAACAAGATTCGGATTCTCAACGCAAATGTCAGTTACCTCTTCTAAACGGGTCAGAAATTCGGCTGACGTGTCACGAAAAGGATTTTCAAAAAGTTACAAGCTTTTATCAACATCTGCCTTCGTGGGCTCCATACTGAAGATCAATTGGCCAGCCGGCCAGAAAGAATTAGCCACAAGAAACAACTCTGGCTGGCAACAAACCAACCAAGGGCCGATTGTTCATCAAATATGTAGGAGAAAATAGAGATGGATCGGGCGTACGTTGAGGAGGCTGTTGAATGACTCTGCTCGAGTGGAACCGCAATGGGAAGCAACGGGTGGGTCGAAATGGGTGACATGAGAGATTATGGCCAATCGTGTACCCAGCTGAAGAGGACGGCAGGAGGTAGAACAAAGTGGTGATGTTGAAGCCCTATGTTTCACTCGGAATAATGAATAGGCAGTTTCTTTTACTAAAACTATGTACAGTTCTAATTTCACAAGATTAACAAATAAACGAAACTATAAACAGTTGAAACAGGCATAAAAGTGCACACCTGTTACATTTTTATACATAAGGATTCAGTGACAGACAAAAACACAAAGACTAAGCTATTTGTGCTCTAATTCTTCAAATGTCAAATACATCATGACATGTGTCAAAAAGGCAATACAACATATTATATGTGTTAAGGTTCTTTGATGAATACGAAAAATAAAATAAAAATATGAAATATCATACAATATGTTTGTCTTAGAATCATTTGTTTTATTATAAATTGTCATATGATTTAAAAACATAGATATTTTTCGCAACATTTTAAGTGACATTAAACATTTCATTTATTTATCTATTTATCTAGTTTACTTACAAGAAAAAATGAAGTTCACCAGAAATGCATTCAAGTGTTACGGAAAATCGTAGTTATAATTGTCAGTTAAAATGAAAATAGGTCAGTTGAAACATTGACAGAAAACAAAAATGTTAAAACGCTTTATTTTAAAAAAATCAAAAGTTTGATTTTCAGTTTGTAGCAAAAACTATGGAGCACTGAACAGTGTTTTCATTTTCGTGTGAAACTTCAGTTAGGGTAAGTTAGCACAGTAGGCATGAAACGTTTGGTATATACAGTGAGCGCTTTGAATTAGTGAAGTGCAACCGACTTTAACTTGGGCCTACATTTATCCACTCAACGTTCGATATGGTTGAAAAGTTACCATAATGGCACTTCGAGATGAGATTTCTATACTTTCGACAAAGGGTAGAGTCATATAAATATATCATAATACCGCCTTTGGAATCATCGACACCTTACAAAAATACGAAACGATGAGCAACGTTACGGTCAGAATGTGTTTCATTGAACTTATGATGCTGCTGAGCTTGATCGTGATTGATTACATGGGACTTTCATCATCTAGTGAACCTACTGTGTGAGTAACTATAAGGTGTATTCGTGCATCCATTAGACTAAGCGGGCATGTTGATAATTTATTTAAAAAGACATGGTATTATGAGTGAACTAGTATTTGGATGCATCTATTTCAGGGTACTTGAACAACCTAGCAACATGTCGTTTACCTTCAGTGGAATTAGTGGCTTGGAGATACATAGTGTGCTTTCATAGTGTATCAGAGTACCAATTGTTGGTGATCACATTCGGTTCACAATGTTAACCAATAGTGGAACTGCAGTTTCTCTCTTATTTATATCATTCTCCAAACGCAGTTATATGATTCGATGGACTTCCGGATTGTTTTTAGCGTTATTCCCTTTTATGACATTTCTTTGTAATGCTGTTACATTATTCTCTACGGTGCAATTTTCGGTGCATACGCTGTTTATAATTTTTTTTGTTTGTTTTTGTATTTGATAAAAATAAGAATGTTTGTATCGAGACTTACCTGTAGATTAATAAAATTAGCCTGTGCAGCACGTGCCATTGCACGAGCAAGTAATGTTTTCCCACAACCCGGCGGTCCATAAAGTAAAATACCCTTTGGCGGTCTTAATAATTTCGAATCAATTTGTAGAGATCGTCCAGCGTGTAATGGTCGCAGTACACATTCTTCAATTTCACGAATAACAGAATCTAGACCACCTATGCAATCCCAAGTTGTATGCAGCACATTCGGATCAACTAGATTCACAGCAATACACACTTCGTAATCATTTAAACTAGGCATTTTACTGAATCCAATACTTTTGAAAATTGCTTCAGCCTGTATATAAAGAAGGTTGGAGAAAAAGAAACAGTGCAGGAAAGATTATGATCTTGTCCCGTATACAGGTCAATGTAGAGAAAATAATACTAATAATAATTCAATAAGTTCACTCGACAATTTGTTAACTGCTACACACACACACACACACACACACACACACACACTTCGAAACATCCAAATTAATAATGTTAGAGGAAACAAAGTGTTCAATTTATTAGTAATTTAAACAAACAAGACTAGAATTCATCTTCACTTAGTCCTCGTGTTTAAACTGATTAAACTATGCAGAAATGTAAGTTTGTTTTTCAGTCTTATAAATTGAAATACTTTCTTTCATTACGTGTATTAATGATTACTTGAAGAGATTAAGACACTTTACTTAAAATTAAATATAGACTGAGTATATCAATGTCACTACATTATACACTCGATCGGTAGGTTTATAGACATCATTCAGTACTACACAATAGCGTTAATTTTTCACTGATAATTCATTCCAATTAATAATTCACTCTTCCGAAAGCAGTAGTTTGTGATTATAGCAGCTTAGTAAGAAAAATTCCTGCATTAAGCGATAATTAGTGCAAGCTAAAAGCATACATAGAGAATTACTTCCCTTACATTTGCCGATAGGCATAATCAAAGCAGATGAGCACGAGGTCTGGATTAGACATACATTCTTACGACTGATTCCTATCAACAAACACATGATTTCATCTTTTAAAAAGAAGTCTGGAGGCAGTATTCACCGTTAATGGGAGGGAGCATCAGAATCTAAGAAGACCTAATTACTCATGTGCTGTGATTACTTCCGTGTTAGCAACCTTCACATCACAAAAGTGACAGGTAGGATAGCCAGGAGTAATGACTGAATTGACCTCCAACTTTTAAGTTAATCATCACCCATTTGGAGTTTGAATAAGACACGGACAGAAAGATGTGAATACTTTCACGAAATTAGACAGCTATAAGTAACGTTGCACGAGAAAAGGAAGCCGATAATGATGGACAACCAGCAGCGGTGCTTGAGAATGATATCTCAGAAATATTAATTAAATTGAGTGAAGAATTGGAAAAATACATGAATCACTCTGCCGAGCCTCAGATAATGACTATTCAACTCATTAGGAAGGGAGGAAAGCTTTCACGTTCGACTGGCAAAGATAAAAGAGAGAGAAACATTGCTAATCTAAGAAATGCATTATTATTGGTTGGGAAAAATTTAGAAGAATATCGGTTTCTTGGCTGACTTCTAAGAGGACATCTACCTTAGGGATTGTAGATCTTACCCTTGGGTAACCACAGGATATACAACTTTTGAAAACGACCATTTTTTAACCTTCCATCTCCACAACAAGAACTTGGCATAGCTAACCTGATGATTGTTTACAAGAAACATTCCTATCTTGTCAATAATACTCTTTCATTTAATGACAATAAACTCTGATCTTTAGAGATTATTTCCTTGACTTGAAGAATATCATGACAACAGATATTACAGCTTTAATAGGCTTGTCTACATTGTTTTACACTTCCACTGGGAAAAAGTACTTTAGAGTGTAGTAAAATAAACCACCGCACTCATATGATAGGATATTTGTTATTATTATTATTATTATTATTGACTATGTATAATGAAACTACACAGGACCTGAAAACGCCACCTTAGCCTTTAATTTAAACGGCTATAACAAAACGAAAAACGCAAGAGTAAGACTATCACATTTAAGACAACCTCAGTGTACTGGGAGAGTGTAACAGGATTCAAAGGACGTTTTATGGCTTTCCCTAGTATTCCTAAACATTGATAAAGACAATCACCAGTTGAGAACAGTTCTTCTCAATTATAAATACTAATGACAGTGTAAACATGGTACTGGTTGAAGTTAGATGCCAATGTTAGATGTAAAGCTCTGACTATCAATCAACCAACACTGTGATTATCTTTTTTGTAAATAAATTATAAATCATATGAATCATACAATTTTTGGGTGGAACAATATTACCGTGCTGGTATGTGAATGCAGAAATAAGCAATAAAACCGACATATTCCCACTAGGATATATATAGTATACCCACATAGTTTCTTTGTTTACGCCTTAATATAAATACAAGCAAAAAGGGAATAAGTACACTCCCATTATGCTTGTTGTGATCATTTAAAAAAAGGGTTATGACTGTAGCTGAAAGAAAATGCCAAGCTGCAACAGGAATCGAACAAACAACCAAGCTAGGAATACCAGACTGACACTCTACCCACTGATTTATGACGCACAAAAAAGCGTTACTTTGTTTCACTCTGATAACTTCAAAACCGACACTACTAGTACTTAATAAAGTGTCATAAAATCATTCTTCTGAACAATGAAAAGCACAGTCAATTACCATGAAAGACAAAGGCTGACCATTAACACCAATCCAAAGTGTTGAGTAAAATCTATCAACCACATGTACACTGTAATCACTAACCTCAGAAGTACGAAATTAATACGCCCTAATGTCGCTTTTGTGTTAGATGGTAGGGTTCAAACAGGATGTTTTAGGCATTGGTTCTGATGTTAATTTCTGAAGCTTTCATTGTCCTACTAGGCAACATCTTCAGCGCATACTTTGATTTGAAGTGAGCTTTTAGATTTCTCCACGAGTTTATTAGTCATTTCTCCTAGTGACCTTGAATATGATTGGTTGTTTTGTGTGTATTGGTTTCGTACATGTTACAGTTGCTCAGCAAAACTAAACCTGTCATGTTAATGGAACTTATATATGTCCCAACCAAGTTCACTTTTAACAGTTTCAAAAAAATTTGGGCATCGGGTATATGATATTCATATGGTTCAAATACGTTGATGATAGTTTTGTTGTGCTAAAACGAGATTTACACAGTTCATTTTTGCAGAAACTGAACAATCTATCTCCCAGCATCCAGTTTACTTCGGAAGCAGAATCAGACGTCGGTGAACTACCATTTCTAGACTGCCTAGTTAAGAGAAATGAAAACAGACATTTTGGTATATCTATGTTCAAGAAGAAAACCCACTCCAACAAATATTTAGACTTCAGATCATCACACCCCATCAATGCAAAGGTATCAGTTGTTTCAAGTTTTCTTATACAAGAACACTCTTCGCTAACGGATGAGAAAGAAACAGATGAAGAAATATCAAACATTTCTGAGACTCAAGTAAAATAACTCCCCGAAGAACTTCATCAACAAAATCAATACCGACATGAAATATGGTCCAAAATGTATTCCAAAGGCATGAGCCTCAACAGTTGTCATTCCATATAGATCGGAAACGTGAGATGATAGATATCAGAAGAGTACTCAATAGGCACAACGTCAGAGTTTTCTTCAAAACAGCAAACACACTACAAAGCAACCTTGTTCATGTAAAAGACCAAATCCCAAGGATTCTCAATCAAATTGTGTTTATAAATCTACATTGGACATTGACTATTCTTCAATAAGATAATAGCCCATACAGAAAAGATGTGATATTGGAATGCTTTATGCAGACTTCGATTTACATAGAGAACAAGATATTTTGATTGGACACTAGTAACTAGTGTGACGTGTTTAGTTCTTTCTTTGGTGCAGACTGAATTCTATCAGTCAGGTATTTGCAATGTGGCCACCATTCTAGGTAGCTCGCCATCACGGTGCACATTGATTTGATGAATAGCTCAGTGGTAACGTCTCTGACTGCAGCACTGGGTGACGCAGGTTCGAATCTCAGAAGGGATATGAATTCCTTCAAGGTTGCAGGTACGCCTTCCTGACTTGTGATTGCCAACTAGCACGAAACCTAGGTCCAAGGCTTCCTCCCGATTGCCTCCAATTATCAAATATCATCAGAACAAGATATTAGCAATAAGCATCCTACACAATAGCTTGTGGATAGTTGCATAACAAATTCAAACATCAACTTATCTTGTTTAATTTATTAGTCAGGGCAATAGTACTGACAGTCAGTACATAACACTGAACACAACTATCATACATATTTTATTTTTGAACTGCTTAAAACGTAGTAGTAGAGCAATGCATGTCATTGACTCGCAGATATCCGTAGTTTTAGCAAATGACATAGAAGCATTATACAGTTGAATTACACTCAATCAGTTAGTTATTATTCAGCCGTATTCTTGCCACATTAACGATATAAACATGCGTAGAAAACCTAAGATAAATAGAATTTGATGGAGGATTTAATCATTAGCTGACATCGGTTAGAGAACCACTGAAAAACCTTGGAGTACTGAACAGCTGTTTCGTCCTAGTTTAGGACTCTTCATCAGTACTCACCCACCGGAGTTCGAACCCAGGACCTTCTGGTTACAAGGCGAGGTTGTAGACCATTGAGCCACTGGGACCCGATCTAATGGCCCATGAAGGTCTTGGGTTCGAACCCCGGTGGATGAGTACTGCCGAAGAGTCCTAAACTAAGACGAAACCGCTGGCTGTCCAGTACTCCCAGGTTTTCCAGTAGTTCTCTAACTGATGTCAGCTCATGATGAAATCCTCCATCCGATCAAACAAAATCCCTACAAAACTAATACTTGAAAAAAAAATAGAATTATTAATATGCCAACAGATTCACATGAAAATAATATGTATAGAAGATAAATAATTACGAGGATTAAAATCTTACACGTTTTCGACATTCTCGTTTTTCTTTCAATGTTGGGTTAATTTGTTCAATTAGATAAAACATTAATCGTAAACTTATCCCGATGCCAACAACAGACACTATGAGTTGGAAGACTTTCTAAATTAGGAAAACAAAAAGACAGAAAAAGTTGAGAACACAACTTGATTATGTGCGTAAAAATAGTCAGTAATTTCATCAGGTGCTTTGTTCACTCAAAATAACTAAGGTTGACACATATAGCAACTTGGTACACTATAAATAAACACATTTTTATTAATATAAACGCAGAGAGTGGTGAGAATCGGAAGAAACTGTGCATATTGTGAATTTTTATCTTGATGATGACATACTGCTGTCCAGAATAAGGCAGATAATTATGCTTTTTTCTAAACTAACAAACTCACTGGCTAGAGTACTTGGAGCAAGAAATACGCTTCATATAACCACAGTAATATAGGGTGAAAAGAAGGAAAGACGGGTTAAAACAAATAGCGAATTAGTATTAATTTTATTAGCAGAAGAAGTAGAAAAAAGAAGCGGGAGTGTACATCGGTCATTCATTCAGCGCCATGAGATAACCGCTTGTCAGTACATTTCAAACAGCAAACATTATAGAAGCATAGAATAAGCGGCCTCAGTAATACAGTATCAGATCACTATTCTAAAATGACACCAGCTATCGAAAGAAAACCAATGGCTACTATAACCACGCGTCACCGGAGATAGAAACTACAGACATTGTGTCCCAAAAATATTCTAAAGAGACACTGATGAATGGTTATAAAGAGCGAAGCCTGGTCACACTTCACATTATCAATATACAACTACTGCTTACCTCAAGTTAAGCAGGAATTAGTAAAAATAAAATCAAATTAATGAAAGCAGTAAAACTGCAACTGCTAAAACACCCTAAGATAAAAGGAAAAGATTGGAGAAAATAAACACAACATTATATTCAAGGTTTGAAGACACTATCTCCGCTGCGAATGATCTTGACGTATAGTCGCGTCATTTTCGACAATAATATTTTGAATTCGTTCAAGCGCTCAGTTTTCAACACAAACATTTATGGTTTCATATTCCATGCAAGATACTTTGATTTAAGTAGTGTGTCTTAAAAGCTTCAACTGGTTAGATGTAAAATTAACAAGAGTTTTAAATTAAAGCAAAATGGTGAACTATGAATTATTATCATAATATTATTATTGTTTCCTTTAATTCCTACAGGAACATAGGGCTTCAGACGTGCGTCTCCATTGCGTTCGGTTCTCTGCTGGAGTTTTCACCTGGCTCCAAGTCTGCCAACACGTTTTCATCTCCTCTTCACATGACCTCCTCCAAGTCACCCTTGCACTGACGACCAACTCGCCGCTTCCCTTTCGGGTTCCACTCGAGCAATGGCTTGTCTAGTGATGTCACTTGATGGTTTGTTTTCTCAGAGTATGGCCAATCCATCTCCATTTCTTCCTGCTTACTTGTTGCACAATCGGTTTCTGGTTGATTTGCTCTCAGATATCCCTCTTGCTGATCTTTTCTGGCCAGCCATCTGATCTTGACTATTGAGCGAAGACAACTGTTAAAGAAGGTCTGTAGTTTGTTTGAGATGCTCTTTATGACACGCCGGCCAAGTCTCTGATCCGTATAGTAGCACTGACTGACTTCACATTGGAGTTGAAAATCCGGATCTCATTTTTCATGCTGAGTTCTGTTGACCTCCACACAGACTTGAGAGTAATGAAAGCTTGTCTTGCTTTCTCGATCCTTGCTTTGATATCCTCATCAGTTCCGTCCACCTGTAGTTGAAACGATGCTTCCCAGGTAGGTAAAAGAGGTTGTTTCTTTCAGGTTCCTTCCATTTATGCTGATTGTTGTCTGTTGTTGTTGCTGCTGTTGGTTGTAGTGTTGCCCAGGAATCTTCATCACCTCTGTTTTCTCTATGTTCACCTGAAGGCCTATCTTCTCTGGATGCCTCTTCTGCCAACTTGTTGCTTTTCATTTGTATATCTTCCAGTCTGTGGGAAATCAGACATATATCATCGGCGAAGTACAGATCCACCAAGTTTTTTGTGTGAGCCCATTTTATGCCTGTCTCCTCGTTGACCGGCCCACTGTCTGTCGCATTACCCAATCTACTGCAATCAGGAAAATCATTGGCAATAGTAGGCAGCCTTGTCTTACTCCTGTCTTCACTTCGGAGGATTCCGTAAGTTTCCCGTTGTGGATTACTTGGCATGCAGCATTGTCGTACAACTGTTGGATAAGATGTATAATTGTCGGTGGCATACCGTAGTGGTGAAGTGGTTTCCAAATCACATCTCGATTAACGCTGTCGAATGCCCTTTCAAAGTCGATGAAGTTGAGACAGAGAGGTGACTGCCATTCCAGGCTTTGTTCAATGTGGCGATTTGATAAATATATGACTTGTTTCTCCTGAATCCAACCTGTGAATACAACAATTAAAATTTCATTGTAGACGCTACTAATTTTCTTTTTACATTCTCTTTGTTTGTAGTAAACTACGTGACAACATTGTGAATCTTATATCTAAAATAGACGAAGACATTATGGAAAAAAAACACCCCATTAGAAGACGCTTGTTAAGCAAGCAGCACTACTAACTGGAGGGAAGGATTCACAGCAAAACGAACCAGCTAATACTAGTGCATTGAATAACATCATGCGGACAAAAATGTGTTTCCAGTCACTATTGTAATCACCAACCAGGTTAGCTCTACAGGCAAATTTTCACTGGACCTTACCACCAGAATTTCAAAAAGGATACTAAATCTTGTCTTAAATTGTTATCAGTGACACTTGATTAGGAATATTTTCACTTAAGAAAGACTGTCTACTACTTGAAAGATAGACTGAAAGTGAAGTGTTACACTGTGGTATTGCTGACAGTGTTAACGGAAATGGTGAAAATAAATTGTGAATAAATAAAAAGTAGAAAAATTCGTCAACACTGAGCGTTCTAATCACTCAAAAACAGGTAGAATGATTAATCAATCTTTTCGGAGTATTCTTTTACTTAAGGAATTACATTTGAAGGCAGAAAAGTGATAAATATTTTAATCTACGGTTAACTTGGAAATATCTAAATATTAAAAAAAAAAACAGTGGGTAAGCAGTGTTGCCTGAAATAAGGTTAGGTTAGGAGTGGTCATACCAAAACGCCACATCAGCCTGTTGATTGGTCGTGTCTAGGTAAAGTGTTGTGAATTGCCTGGCTGAGGCAATCCGGACTATAAAAACAGACGTTCAAAAAGTCTTCGTGATGTGTTTTAAAACTGTTCACAAAGGCCCTTTCAGATTCTGAAGACCTTCACCAATTGTTTGATTTTTTTACTCATCATACTGATGTATATTTCTTGTGGTATTATTGAGTTTTTTTCTTTTCTTTCATGTATCGTCCTCCGAAATGTGTCCGTAATTGTTATAATAGGAAAAGAAGTAGTTTGAAAATCCTCTGTAAAATCATTTTCATAAGTGGAGCTGAATAATTGGAGAAGAGTTATGTATGCTTTCTGGAGATTAAATTATATTTTCTGAGAATTCCACGAGAAGTTTGACAAAATTTCTTATATGTAGAGTATAAAGCGATTTGATAAAATCATAAAATTTCTGATTTCTCATAACCAACTAGCTAATTCTAAGAATGCTGGTGCAAGAACACATAAATTTACATTCATTTTCAGGATTTTAGCATGAACTGACACTAGTTAGAGAACCATTGGGAAACCTGGAAGTACTGGACAGCCAGCTGTTCCGTCCTAGTTCGAGATTCTTCGACAGCAAGCACCCACTACAGGGTTCGAAGCCAAGATCTCCCAGTTACAAGGTGAGCTCATAGACCATTAAACCACTGAGATGATTCATAAATTCCAACTTCTGTCAATTCACGATATGGCGCCACCAATGACGCCAATGTCATCCGCAGCGACTATTTATCCTCACACCCCACCTGCTGTACCGCATTTGTCAAGACTTCTCCTTAGAACCCAGGTAACTACCTACCTGATTAGGGCCAATCACTAGAGAGCATCATATTCGTATTGAAGAGTCCCAGTACTTTCAGGTTTTCCAATGGTTCTCTAACTAATGTCAGTTCATGATGGAATCCTGAAACCAATGAAATCCTTGCAAACCAACACCTGAATATATGTTCATTTTCTTCATGGTTATCATCACCTGGAGGCCCATAAACCTTTTACGGTCTTGGTTTGTGATTTTCTATGTCATGGTATATTGTTTGCCCGTAAGTAATATGACATCAGTGAACTTCCACGTCATTTCACTGTACAATACAAACATTTTCGACGGATGATTAAAATGGTCAGGGGTATGATATCTGGTATTCAATTAAAATTACAATGATCATAATTTAAATGCTAGGCATACAGTGTTATCCAAAGAGTAATAACCAAGTGAATTGGACATCAAAAATGCCCTCCCCCTAACTCAACCCAGCATGTTAGCAAGTTTAACGAAAAGAAAAAAGAAACTATCGAATGCTCGTGTTAATAAATACTGTCTACGCATGAGGTTTTTGTTTATCAATGTATTGCGAAAATGAATATTAGTAGAATCAACATCAACAACGGTAAACCCATTTATAGTATGAATCGTTCGTTCAGTGCATTACCTAACTTGTCTTTCAAGGACCAAAAACAAACGCTTTTATGGTTGATTTTGTTTGTCTTCCATAATGTGTATATGCTGACTTTGCGAATTTCTGACCTTGCCGTCAGAAAATGCAGATAATCGAAATGACATAACAAACCATGTTATATCTTATGCCCCTAAAATAAGACACGTCTGACCTCTGAACTGAAACACCAGTTTGACTAATAACTTGGACATATGTAAAAGCCATTCTATCATATATATATATATATATATATATATATATATACAAACAACATGGTGGAAAAACATGAACTGCAATGTGAAAGTTATTCGAAAGTAGTGAACAAAAAACACGAAGACAAAGATGACAAGTAACACGTACAGTGTATAAGGCTTTCCAAATTCACAGATAGGCAAACAACCCATATGTATAA